AAATAATAAGATTCTCTATAAGTACTAGCTATACTAGTAGACTACTTAAGCTAGTTAACTTATCTATAGTATTAGTTATATTAGTTTAGGCCTTAGTAAGCCAGTTGTTTATATATAATCCAGAGATAATAGTAGTAACTATACAGTAGATAGTATTAATATATAAGTATATTTTTGGTATTCCTATAGAAGTAGTAGTTATAGACCTGGTACTAAGAATATTTATAATTTTAATAATCTACAGCTATTAATTTATTTATATTTAGAGAATACTTTTAATCTTCTTAAGATTTTTATAGATAGTATTTACTAAGAATATCTCTATAATCTAACTAGTAAAATTAATAAGATTTTTAATTAGTAGAAGAAAAACTAACTTAGTAGATTATTATTTATTTTTCTCTATTCTTCTTTAAATTACTTAAGAGTATTATTAATAGCTATTATATATATATATAAATTTTTATAATAGTAGTTAATTCTAATTTAAGACTATATTAGCTTTCTAGAGAATATTTTAGATAATATTAAGCTATTACATAATCATAAGGATTGGAAACACTGTTAAAAAGCGATAGAGTAATAGAGGATAGAGTTATATATAAACTCTCACTCTTCCTGATCGATAATTCAATGGCGGCGTGCTGTTTGGTGTAGCTGGCGCGGTTTTTGGGTCTCGTTATTCTTTTATAATAATATAGTCTTCTAATATACTACTAAAAAATATTTTATATATAAAATCTTACTAGTATCTGGATTCTTTCTATAATAAGATACCTAAGAATTATATAATAGACTATAGAGATTATAAATTATATATATATAAATAAGTTTATATAGCTCCAGCTCTATTTCTAGATTAGATAGCTTAGCTAAAATAATCTTATTTATAATATTTAGATTTAAGAATTAATTATAGTCTATTAAGAAGATAATAAGATAATAATAAGATAAATTATATTTCTAATACTTTAATATCTAGAACTATACTAGTACTAGCCTAAAAATCTTAGTATTCTTAAATAAATAAAGCAGTTTCTACTTTTTTAACTTATAAATATAGATAATAAGATCCAGCTAGTTATTTATAGACTAGCTATAGAATAGTTTATTTTAAATCTTAGACTAGTTAGAATTCACTATTATAGTAATAAAAAGTAATAATAGACTATAAACTTATATAATAGTTATAGTATTATAGAAAAACTATTATATATAGTATAGATTATCTATATAACTAGACAATAGAACTATTCTATAGTCTAATTCCTTAGCTATAAAGTTGATATTATCTTTATATATTATTAAATTTATTAATCTACTATATAAATTAGTCTATAGTTTATTCTAGTTATATTTTATCTACTCTAACTTATCCTATTTAATAGTTATCTATATATCTACTAAATACTACTACTATAAATCTTTAGTCTATTATAGTATATTAAAATTATTCTTATAGATAAAAATATAATATATATAAAATATCTAGACTGTTAATTAGTTATCTTTATAGCCTAGATTATTATTAGAATATAGAGCAGTACCCTTATAAAGCTATAGATTCTAGTATTAGTCTAGATTATTATATAGAAAAAGAAGAATATAATATAAAGTAAGATAAGAAGTATAGAAAGCATCAATATAAATTAGCTATAGCTGTCCTTTAGTAGTATATAAATATAGAATTATATCTTAAAATATACAGCAGCTATAATTAGTATCTATATCTAGAATAATAGTAGCTATCTTAAATAATATAGAAAGATTATACTATTAATAGTCTATATCTTCTTCTATTATAAGATTAATCTATGGTGCTAATATAATATTAATTAGAATAGTATATAGATCAGTCTTATATAGCTATTCCTAAGCAGACTAGTATATTAGAATATACAGATTAATATTCTTAAGTATCTTAACTAATTAATCTAGTAAGATAAAAGATATAGATTATACTAGATATAAATATTATTACTAAATTCTATATTATAAAACCAAATCTATATAAAGAAAGATAAATAACTATTATTATATTCTAGTAGTTTATATAAGTAAATTAATTCTTTTATAATACTTATTAGAATATTTCTACTAGTAATATATCTATTAATCTAATAATTTATAGATATAAAGACTACTATACTATTATAATAATAAATTTTTAATATAAATTAATAACTATTAGAATCCTAATAAAGATAAATATTATAAAGAAAAGAGAATAGAATATAGATTATAGATAGAACTATATTACTCTTTATATAGTATTTTATAAATAGAGAAGAATCTATAGATAAACTATAGATATATTTATTTAACTAGTATAGAATTATATAGAAGAAATATAGTATATCTATATAGTTAAGATTATATAATTTAATAGATTATTAATAAAAATAGTAGATATATAGTATATTCTATACTAGATCTTATAATTATTCCTAATACTATAGAGATCTTTTATATAGATAAATAGAATTATTTCTCTAAATAATAGACAGCTAACAGGCTGTATTATTAATAAGTATCTAAATAATTAGAAAGAATTTAGAAATTAGATTAAGAATAGATATTCTTTATAATCTATCTAGTCTATAAGATAAAACAACCGGAGGTTAAGTAGTTATATAGTAGCTGTAAAGATATAACTAAGAATTAAGATAGATTAATTATAGACTAGTAGAATAAGAATAGAAAGAATACTTAATAAATAAAGTATATTTTAAAAATATATAGACCTAGAGAATAGTCTAGAACTATATATTAAAAGTAATCTAGTGGATACTAATAGCAGCTGTATATACAAAGTATACTAATCTATAAGAAATTCAACTATTCTAATAATATAGACTATAACAGAGTTCTATAATATTAGAAAACTATAGAAAAATAAAAGTAAAAATAGACAAAGCTATAAATAAGAATATAAATAGAAGTAATAGACTATTAAAAGAATAAGTAGAATTTTTTTATATAGTGAGAATTATTAGTTAGAGATTAATAAGCTAAGTAAAAGTAGAGTAAAGTATTTTATATAAGAAAATACTAAAATCTATATTTAAAAAATCTATAAAAATCGAAAAAAAGAGAATCTGGGCTAAAAATAGTATTGAACTATAGTAAAAATTCTAATCTATTTATAGAATTTTGAATTTCTTAGAAATATTAAAAATTAAGTCTATAAAGCTTATATATATAATATTCATCTTTTTTTCTAATATCTTACCTATTTAGACAAGTGGGGCTACGAATTTGATATAGAATAAAAGATAGAATTTACTGTAATAGATAAGCCTATTTTTAGAAAACTATATTAAGATTTGACTGAGAAATCGACTTTTTAATTAAATTGTAACATTTTCGTATATAATAGTAAAGATACTATTAAAATTACTACTAAATTATATCTTTATCTTATAATAGAAGATCTTAAAAGCTTAACTATTCTTTATATTATTATATCTTTTTAATAGTTTATTAATTACTAAAAATAAGCTAAAAAGTCTTGATTTCTATAATATATATAAATATAGATATTAAGATATCTAAATCTATAATTAGATATATTCTTTATCTCTATAAAGTATATAAATAAAAGACTAAAAAGAGAATATTTTTATAAAGAAAAGATACTAAAGTATAGTATAAATTCTATAGATAATAGATTCAAAAATTAACTTAGAATAATATTATTCTTTTAAATAAGTATTTAATTAAGATACTTTAAAAAGAATAGTAGATATAGATTTAAATAATCTGTAAAGACTATAGCTATAAAATAATTAAAATATAATACTATAATAAGATACAATAAGTAATCAAAAGTCTCGGGACACTCCGCTTCCGCGCCCGACGTGTTAGAAATATCAACAACTTCAACCACTCACTAAACCACTAATATGAGGTCTTTTGATACTGAATTAGTATAAATTATAGCTATTCTTATAAACTTTTATCTAAAATATACTCTATAATTCTTTTTAAACTAGAGATAAAGTAATTACTAATTAAATTAACTTAGAAATTTAGTATATTATATTTAATAATTTATTATATATATAAATACTTTTAAAATTACTACTAAGTTAAATCTTTATCTTATAATAGAAGATCGAAAAGCTTAGCTATTTTATATACTATTATATCTTTTTAATAGTTTATTAATTACTAAAAATAAGCTGAAAAGCCTTGGTTTCTATAATATATATAGATATAGATATTAAGATCTCTAAGTCTATAATTAGATATATTCTTTATCTCTCTAAAGTATATAAATAGAAGACTAAAAAGAGAATATTCTTATAAAAAAAAGATACTAAAGTATAGTATAAATTCTATATATAATAAGTTAAAAAACTAACTTAGAATAATATAATTTTTTTAAATAAATATTTAGTTAAATAAGATACTTTAAAAGATATTAGATATATATTCTAAATAGTTAATAAAGACTATAGATATAGATTAGTTAATATATAATACTATAATAAGATATATTATTAAATAGTTTAGATTAGAATATAGATTAGTAGCTGTATAAAGCTTATAATTATAGAATATAATCTAAATATATCTTATAATAGTTATATATAAGTTTCTTATATTTAGACTCTTGAAAATAGTCTATAATTAATCTATAAGTCTAGAATAATATTTTAATAAGATAATATACTAATTTATTATATAGATAAAGTCAAAAACTAGTTTAAATTATATAGAATTTAAATTATAGATTAGTCTCTGTATTTATCTAATTTAAATCTAATTAAGTATATCTAAATACTCTTAAAAAGAACTCTTTATAAGTATTATCTAAGTCTCTAACTTAATAGATATAAAGAAGAGAATAAAGAGGCCTTTAGTAAAGTTTTTTATAAGTATTAGAATAGTATATTATAAATAGTATTAGATAATCTTATTCTATTAATACTATAATATATTACAGCTGTTTGTAAAGCGAAGGACTATTATACAAAGTACTAAGGCTGTAGAGCCTCAACACCAAAGAGCTTTTGTATATAGAAAGAAATAGTAGAATAATTGAGTTTTGAAGAGAGGCGTATTTTGATGCGGAAGGCGGGTGTCCCGAGACTTTTGACTATGTATTGTACTAGTTTTCCTTCCTGCCTGCTTGATAAGACTCAGCTACTTAAATGGATGACACTAGAGATTCCTCTGCTCAACCCATCTATCCATGCTAAGGCTTTCAATTTTGGTCACAATCTCTGGAACCCGCCAATCTACATTGCACGGCATAATTACAGGATGCCTTTACAGGATAACCAGAATCATCTCGGTGAATTCATGATGGTAAGGCACAAATTCTGCTGCTACCTGCCCTGACATAAGCTCAAAGTTTATATGCCCCATGCTTCTTACCCCTAGCCATACTGATTGAGTCCCAATAGGCCTTTAACGATATAACCAAGTACGTACACAGCAGGGACTTTTGCCAACACAAGTTAATCACCTGCTCAGAGGCGAGGAGGCAGCACTAGCCTTGGAGCAGCATCTATGTCAACTCGAATCAAGAATTGATGGGCTTCTCAGCGAGGTCAAAGAAAGCAAGGCCGCGCCTTCGGGCGACCCTGGATTCAGCCAAGCAGGAACGCATGCACAGCTGGATCTTAACAATCAGCCCTCAAATAACTCCACCAAATCAAAGTGACCCTCTGGCGTCTTCTCCACAACTCCCTTCTCTGTTATTATACCATCGATGAGCGTAGCTGGCGTGATGTCGAATGCTGGGTTCCAGACGTTGATGCCCTCTGCAGCTATACGCACAGTCTCGAATTCTCCGCCCGTGTAGACATGGCCTTCACAGGGTCCCTTGATTTTTGTAACCTCAACGGCCGGTCGTTCTTCTATCACAATGTCACTTCCAGATTTAGTTGATAGGTCAATCGTCGTAAGCGGCGCGGCAACGAGAAACTTCACACCGTGATGCTTCGCCAGAACAGCAAGCCCATATGTCCCTATTTTGTTGGCAGTATCTCCATTGGCTGCAACCCTATCCGCCCCGACAATAATAGCGTCCACCCCAGCCTGAGGGCTGGCAAGCAGTGCGGCAGACATAGAGTCTGTTATCAAGGTAGAGGGAAGATTATCATGCACCAATTCGAAAGCTGTCAGTCGAGAACCTTGGTTGTAAGGTCTGGTTTCAGTACAGTACGCGTGACGCAGGCAATTCATTGATGCCAAGCTGCGAATGACTCCCAGGGCAGTCCCGTACCCCGATGTCGCTAGAGACCTGGCTGGGAATGAGAATTGGAACTCCGGAAATGACTATAGACCACTCACCCTGTATTGCAATGGGTCAGGACGGTAGCCTTTGACTTCCCTCCGGCCAACGCGTTCGACAAAATCCACTTAGCGCCGTTTTCACCGATCTGTTTATTGTCTTCAACGTCCTTTACCAGCATTGCCTCTGAGGCTTTTATGAAGGCGATGGCGACTTCGTGACCTGTTGCCCCAGGCTGGCTAGCGCTCCGAGCCACCACGACCTCAAGTTTCCGCGCAGCATCACCTAAATTGACAGCAGTAGGCCTACTGCTCACCAAGTAATGTAGCTTTTCAACAATGAAAGCACGAACTTCATCTGCATCAGGGGATAGACTCTGGTTTGAGATTAAAGCGTGGATCTCAGACGCAAGGGCGAGTGCCGCTACTATAGCGATGGCCGGCGCTCCCCGGACCTGCATAGCCTTGATCGCATGCCAAGCCTGTTCACTTGTGTTGATTTGAATATACTGTTCCACATAAGGAAGTTGCAGTTGGTCGATGATCGCAAGAACGCCCTCCTGGTATTTGATCGCTTGTAGAGTCATGCTTGTAATAAATATCTTGAAGAATCACGACGAACAATAACAGGAGTCAAAACAACAGCTATGCCAGCGATCGAGGTCCAATAGTGAGAAAATTATGATTGCCGGGGCCGTCTTGCACTCCTCCAAGTTGACTGGCGGGGAAAATCCTACGTCGAGGTGTTCGCTGCAGGCGGTTTCATAGGTGGGACGAATATGGCAAGCGGTATCCCAATCACATACACAGCATAGTACATACGAAGTAGTACTTTGGCGTACTGTGTAGTTAGGTAAGTGCCCGATACAGTTCCGTGTTATAAGTCATATGATATTGACCTCTTATCATATCATATGTTAAGTGAAGAGTGATAAGTTCCTTGCACACATCCTCAGGCTAGCTCTAAGAATTTCCCTCCTGGATCAACCTGTGCATCATAGGCTGTCAGCGTGTTTTCAGAGGCTGGTTATTTCCGCAATTCCACCAACTCTAAAATCAGCCGATGTGCCATGCTCAATAGAGCACCGTGCTAACGAGAGGCGGAATTCCTGTCTAGTTATACTCAGAAGTTGTTTTGCTTTTTTAAGATTTGAATGATGGTTCCCAGTCTTTTCTTCATTCTTATCATAATATTGTTACCTTGTAGGTCTCCCTCCCTTACAGTGCCCAGGCAATGTGATGGCTCCTTGATGTCCCTTATTATGACAAGGGCCTACACGTCACCCTCAGATGATCAAGGTGATGTCAATGATAGAGATTCTCAGTGAGCGGAGATGTAAAGCACTAGCCCATATGAATCAGAAGGAGCTCGTAGGACACCAGGGATGGGTAATTCGGTTTCGACGAACCATTATTACCGCGGATAAAAGCATCACCATAGGTCCGCGTTAAACGACCGTTGACAAACTCCTCGGATTTTTCCAAAGCTATGTTCATGTAGCCATCAACTGACTGGAGTTCGCCTAGATTTGTATTAGCCTCCCAGATTCAGAACTTTGTCATTCTCGGTTGACATTTTCAAATTCCTAATACATTTTTCTTGGGAACTGAGGATTTTTGTTCCGCGAGGTATGTGGCCGAAGAGGATAGCTTGGGGAAATACCTTTGTAAACAACACCAGAGTTCAATTTGATGGTTACTGGAGCGCCGATTATCTCACCAAGGAAAGCCGAAGGATCTTTCCCTTCAGAGGATGTACCATTTTCCATGTTGACGTAATCACTTTTTGAAAGAGCTGATGTGTAAAAGTCAGCGAGCGACTTTCATCAGTCTGAATACAGCCCCACCGAAAGTTGATATCAATTTGTTATGGAATGCCTAGCGAAGTACTGAGTACGAGTACAAGTAGCTCTGTAGTTAGTGCTTCGTGCCTACGGAGTAGATAAGGCCCGGCTTAGGCACGTGCTTCTTATCAGAAGTTGTCACTTAGTCGTGTTCATCAACACACTGGCCGAAGAGGCTGGTATCAAGATTGGAAGCCAATTCTCAACACGTCTTCTGGAAAGACGCGCCTGCTCCAATTCTGGGATTCACTGTTCTTATAGTCGTCACGAACTTGGAACCGACACTCGTTCATCGAAGGTCGCACTGATGCGCTCATTCTTCAATAAACCATCCTGGGCAAGCAGGGGAGATGAAACCCAGGATGTTCAGTTCTACCGGCATGCCAGTCAAGTTTACAATGATATAATCTCTACAAATCAGGATATGCGACGTGCACACCAAAATCAAGGGACGACTTCCAGAAAGCGACACATACCAAACGAGAACCATGGCCCTGACACATTACCATCAAGAGTTTGCAAAACCCACGGAAGGTCTTCCAGTTGTCAAACGCCGTCTGAGAGCACGGCTTCCGATTGCGATCTTGCGCAAAGAGGCGAAAATACATCAAGCAGTCAAGTTCCACATCCAGCCCTGCGCGCTGCGGAAGGGACGGATCTCCATGCCATTGATCGCCCAATGCACAGTATTGTCGTAAAGTCTCAGGACAAATTCGTTGCTAGTGATACACTGGCTGCGGGGTGCCCTAGCAAAAGCAACAGGGCATGCATTGACGTCTCCCAATCCACAAATACGCTGAGCCCTACTGAACCACCCCTGACTCCCAGCAAGCAGCTTATACCGTCTGAAGAGCCATTTGTCCAGATTCTCATTACATCGACAATTTACAATACTAGACCACTCATTGTTCGCCGAAGATTACACCAGCCGTTGAGAGATGTGCGCCTCGCATGGCTTGATCGTCAAGGCCTACCGAAAGAACTAGAGAACTCCATCTACCTAACCTGGAAAGGGAAAAGGCTTTTCGATGTTACTACATGCCGCAGTCTGGGGTTTGGGTGCAAGAGTCAATACTTGTCTAGACCAAATGCCTATGCTGTGCTACAGGATGACAGTAAGGACCTGCAAATACACATTGAAGCCACTACCGGCAAAAGTCTTGACCTTGATATTGGCCAGTCGCTGTCTCCTGCTAAGCTGGACCAGACTGCAGACTTTACCGTTGTGGAGCAACAGTTCAGCAAAATAGTCTTAATGTCCCCGGGCCTCAAAGATCTAAGGTTGAGAGTCAATCTTCAGATGCATGTCTCAAAGTTGATATGTCTGTTTCGCGATGCAAGACAGATACCTCCAGAACATGAGGTTCACCTGGTGTTTGATGGTGAGCGCTTGGAATCTGGATGTACCCTTGCAGAATATAATCTTGCGGATGATGATCTTCTTGATGTTATAGTCAAGTGACATTTTATGGATCCTTATAGTAGTAGGATTTGCACGTTTACAGCAAGCAGTAATTATATGTCACGTGCAACAGAGACTGAAGCAAGCAGACACAAACAACTTCAAGCCAGGTAATCTCTGGTTAAGACCATATTTGTGATTACCCTACCTAATACAGCTAAATCTGACTGAGGAAAATAATTGCCCGTTTCATATCAAAAAAACTAGTCCTGGCATCGTAAGCGGGCAAATCACTTGCAGATGCAAAAGAATTCATTACACGGGAAGTATGATAACGTAACATGAAAACAGCCTGCCAAAATTTTCGCCCACCTCAGATATAAGCCTTCACAAGTTTGTTCGCTTTGCAAATAGATTACGAAGTTCCTCAACCATCCTCAACACCAATGAAGTTACTGACCGCCAATTTTCTGGCTTGTGCTGTCAAAGGATGCAAAGCATCTGCGTCATCCTATCCCTTGCATTTCAAAGATGCTGAGCTTGAGCTGCAAGAGCTCGACTACCAGCCAGTATTCTTACAAAATATCATGCCGCGAATCGACTGGGAAGGTCTGCGTATGATAGCCAACGAGGTGAGCATGCAAATGCTGTCATGAAAGAGATCTTTAGGTGCTCACGCAGTTACTCTTAGCTGGGTTTCCCCAGACTCCCTGATACGAAGCCCGAAGGCGATACTCTCAATGATGAAACGACATTGAGGGACCTTCACAGACTTCTTCTAGAGACGCATGTTGTGGAAGGAAAACTATGCTGTGGCAACTGTGGTCATGAGTACATGATTAAGGAAGGGATTGCTAATTTCCTTCTTCCCAGCCACCTGGGTAGGATGAACTTCTCTTATGAAAATATGAAATCATACTGATAGCTTTCCGCTCTAGTATGAGTTATGATGCACAATTCTACATGCGTCGGTGCCATGGTCAGACTTTTGTTATATACCCCGTTCGTATTTTGACTGGGGACTTTTCTATGATGTTGCCGGAGAAAAGATTGCCCTGTTTACCTCTCTGAAAGGATGCAGAGACTCCCTTGGTTGTGTATTGAATGTTTGTATCACAACTGATATTATGCACGGGTTTGATGGGACATGAGACGATGCAGTCGACCCGACTAATACCTATGTTGGACGAGTCCTTTAACCTCAATAAGAGTCCTGACCCTAAAATGTACTAGAATGTTCGGCGCCGTCAAATTCCTGCTACTTGCTGTCTAGCCGTGAATGCTTCATGCAGCAACTTAATATGAAGTTCTTGACCAAACATCTTCGCGAAATCTGCCCCAGAGTCCAGGATTTGTAGCCTCAATGGTGTAATGTCATCAATTGAGAAAGCCCTTGCAACCAGTGGAACCGCAGAGACAAGGGATTCGGTCATCGCTATCCCACTCCCTTTCGAATTTATAGTCATACGTAAGCTCTTCATCTGAAATGATAGGAGTGTCAGTATGCAAAGACTTCGACGATTGTAGTTAGACTTTACCTCTTTCAATATCCCTCAACGCATATATAACGATTCTTTTACTGCCATCCACTTTGATGATCTTGGCAGTACAGTTGGGTGTACAGCTGTGGTTGATAAATCTTGCAATGCCGCCTCGCTTTGTGGCGTCGATAACCGTGTTCTCGTCTATACGGAAGAGGTAACTGCTGCCAATGCCACTCTTCAGGTACCGCCTCTCCCTCATATCTGCAACCTGCTGTCTGACCTTCTCGCCCACGTATTCAATGATCATATCATTAGCCGAGATATTCTCTTCCGCATACAAACCCCAATTATGAATCGCAGAACGAGCAAAGCGGACTGGTTTTTTCCGCTTTTTCAGCTGATTGAAACGAAGAACATCGCCATCACCGCTTTGCGTTGGTAGGGATTGCTTTTGTGCGTTGATGTCCGCGATAAGTCGGCGATTATTGACTCTTGTCGACCTGGATGTTGACTTGGATATTGTTTTGGCTGCGGCAATTCTCGCGGCCTCGACAGCAACACTGTGAGGGTCATTATTCGCCTTCGCCTCTCGTTCTTCACGGGCTTTCTGAACTTTGATGCGATGCGGCAAATATTTTGACTTTTCTGACTCCAAAATCTTCTTTCTTCCCTCGGTTCTTGCAGCTCCTGTGATGTTGGAAACGTAATAGCCAAGTATACTTGTTGTTTCGCGCACGGGGCCCGCCTCTCCAGGACGATTGAGCGCTTTGATTTCCTTTTGTCTCCAGGCCCAAGCAGAAAGACTTCCAACGCTAGATACGGGTGATCCCTCCAATACATCACGTAGGAATCGCAAGTCTTCCCCGTCTTTGATCAAACTTTGCCACCCATCAAGATCTAGCACAATTGCTTCGTCATCTTCAACTGTCGGGCGAGGCTCGTCGTTAGAAACCTTCCATTCAACCTCGGTTCTTGCCGGTTCTCGTTGAACGTCAATATTTTGAGCGAAACTCAAATCGCAACCGTGGTCCTCGTCAAGAGATTTGGCCTCCACGGGGAGTCGTGAGCGCACAAGCACAGCAGGGTCTACTGCCCGCTTTGCGAGCTCCCTAGAATCAGCTTCAGTAGTCAGAAGGAAACTCTCACCAGCGACATCTTCCCTAATAGTTTCGATGTTGATGGATGATTCCACGCCCAAATGCCGCTCAACAAGGTCTTCATGCTGTCGGCTTTCGGGGAAATCCTCGTCCTCTTTCTGCCTCTTTTGCGCATTGACCTTGTCATTATCCCTTTTCCTCTTGCGGGGGGCAGGAGAAAGTTCGTGATGTTCACTATACGAAGCAACCGAGGCATCGTTGACCGATTCCATCAAGGCACCAACATTTCCCTCCCGATGTGCACTGCACGAACCCTCGCCATCGCCAACCTTATCCAAGGCAGATGCCTTAAAGTCTTCGACTGCGGATTCATCAATATCTTCAGAATCCGAAGACTCTGAACTCATCCGACTCGGTGCACGACTGTCTGGATCATCGGTGTCTCTCGTGAAGGGCGTCCTTTGATCTTCGTCGGAGTCATCCACGTGATGTAGTTGTTGTAGACGATGATAAAGAGGTCGAACCTCCTTCTTCCGCAGGGGCTGCTTGCGTCTCTCGTCCAAAAAAGCGGCGTCTGTGTGATTAAGACGGTGAGTCTTCCTTATACGTGGAAGTGCAAGGATGCTCAAGTTCGAAGAGCGGAAAGGATGACGGGTTGAGGATAGCTCTGAACGTGAATCAGGTGTCGCAGCTGGACTGCTTAGGTCAATGCGAAACAGAGGCTTCTTGGCGCCTTCTGGGGCCCGAATACCCAGCTGTTCTCTTCTCGTCGCATGTCTATCTGGTTCAAGATAGTCATACAGAGTCGGGGCAGCGATCCGAGACTTCACGTCTTCAAGCAATTTATCTTTCAAGTCTCGAAGTATGATTGCTACCACTTCCTTGCATGGATCCAAATCAATTGCTCTTTGTCTCTTTTCTTCTTCGACGTCCAATTCGGCTTCTCTCTTGATCCTATCCAACCTAGCCCGTTCACGCTGTTCTGCCTGAAGCCGTTGCGGGCTGGGACTGCGCTCGTAGCCCGGGTTTCCGTAGGGCTGGCTTTCCATGTTCATGATGTAAGTAAACAAAGGTTTCATGTGACACATCTGATAGCAACGTTCTGTTTCTTCTTCACCTCGCCTGGAATTTTCGAAAATGATGTAATAGCCTGTTTTGTCGCAACGGATATCTTTCCAATCGAAGACTTTCAACCTTTTTTTCAGGTGAGGAACGGTGGTACTAAGTACCGGAACGTAGCAGTGCGCAATGAAAATATATGGGTCTCGCTTGATCTGACTTAGGATGGGTATTTCCTCGACTAATGATGGTACAACTGATTTGAAGAAGCTAGCCCTTGGTCCATCGGGAATCGCAGGTATGGGACGTGTCGAAGACCTCCCTGACGGGCCTTTTGGGGCTGTCGGCGGCGGCTCATTGTGGGGAGTACTGGGCTTTGTGTCTTCGGCAATCGAAAGTGTATTCTTGTAACCCATCCTCTGGGAGTCGATCGCTCGTGACACAATTCTGTCTGAGACAACGCCGTCTCGATCCAGCTCAACTCGGATTCTTCGAGTTTCAATCCGCTGTTCCTTCTTGCACTCATAATATGCTCGTCTTGCAGCATTTATTGCGAGTAAAGGGCCGCCTCCTCGGAAAGAGGCACTATCTTTATACTTCACGGAACAGATTCCCAGAAATCTCCCAGTAATCGGATCGGTACGATTGTTTATTTCCGCGATCTCTCCAAAGCTAGAGAATAGAGCACTGATTGGCGCGATTGGAGTTAAGGGGTCGAAGCCGGTAACCACTATCTGAACTGGAGGCCCAGGCCCGATGGTGGTAGATACATCATACGACCATTGTCGCAATGTATATGGCGCCGGACGATACTTTGTTTTTTGCTTGCAGCCAGCACCGCGCGCATAATTCAGTATGAGGAGTCGAGGATCTGGCGGCCTATCATCCTGTTCGCTGCATAGGATTTCCACATAGCGGGCCTTCTTGCGCTTGTCTCGTGACGTTTTCTTCTCAATTTCAGGGTCCGAAACAATTTTCCATCCTCTGAGGGTTCCTATCGACCGTCCCTGTCCCTGCGACTGTGGTGTTGGCGGGGTTTGCAGCAAGGTGTTTGCTGGCTTTGTTTCATGCGACGTGGCCCATTTTTTAGCTCGTCCTGGGCTGGACTTCCGCGCGGGGGAGGACACTACATTGGTAGATGGCGTAAGCGTATCCAAGCGTCCTTCGTTAGTGAACGCTACGGGGGTAGGTGCTGCGGCAGCGCTAGGTGTTGAATGACTCTTGTTGGTCAAACTGGTCGATTCATCTGGGATCGTACCGGATGCTGTATATCTCTTTTCCCTGGGGAGACCACTTTTTGAGGCTGCGCTTGTATGGTAGACACTTGAATCAATCGCATTTTGAGGCTCCGCAGAATATGCGAGTTTTTCGTGGTCAATATCTTCATCCAGATGGACTTTGGTATGAGGCCTGTCCTGGGTGGCTTTGCGTTTCTGCTGTAAAACTGATGGGGCGGTGGGAAAGAAGTCTGCAAAACCTGCTGAGGTACGCGACATGATGAGAAATGGCTACCAGCCAAAGCCACAAGGATTTTGACTATCAAGCCGCATCGTTGATGTCTGTCTTATGGTCTAATGGGTAATGTATTGCCAGGAGATTCTCCTGGAACCAAAGGCGGTAACGAAAGGAGTCAAGTAACAAACCTTGGGAAAAGCCGGTATGTGTGAGAAACGATAAATGATGCGCGAGAAGGTGGTAGCCGCAGAAGAGAGTCGGGACTATGGAAAACGATACTGGGCAGAGACGATAAGGCAGGGGGCACTTTGGAAACCTTGACAAAAGACAGAGTATCCCAGTATTTCAAGTCGATTGAATCAGCAGGATGGCACTATACCAACGCGACCTCGGAAACGCGATGGGTAAGATAGGTGACAGAAGCGGAGGGGCGTACGATTAACTAATCATTGGAGTACATTGCCGCCGGAGCAAGTGGTTTGACGCCCTCATGCCTTTCCTTTCGTCTATCCCCGGTTTATTGTAACTATCATCCGCTGTAGAGTTGGAAAGCGATTCTGGACTATACTAAATCTCTAACAAGCCATGTGTTATTAAGTTCTCATCCTGATAAAGTAACCACATATTCAGTTGCCATGTATCATTTGAAGATAAGAAATAGTGTGTTCATACATCTAATGTAATCAGACACCGAACTGGTGCAATACTAAACTGTTGTTTTCCTATGTAACTACATAGTAGCCCAAGGGGGAATTTTTGGAGAGTTCCAAAAGCAGGTGGTATCCATTTTTTTTAGTTAGTAAGAGTTACATGAAATAGTTTACTAAAGTTTATTATATATTATATTAGTTTTATTAAGATTTTTTTGGGATTTTAGTAAAGTAGTAATAGATTTTATAGATGTCATGATAGAAGACGATGATTTATGACTGGGATGATATTGGTTAGTAGTGACGGAAGACATCAAGGAGCGATGAGGACGAAGTTCTACTGCTAGGGCAGTCAGAAAGGCGGCCAGACAAACAGATAGTAGGATATTATAATAGTAAAGTAATATTTACTATAGATACTAGTCTTTAAGACTAATATTCATAGAAACTATATGGAGGCATGTACCAAAAGTTATAGAACAATACTAATTCTCTTAGTAGTAATCAACATAATATTCAGTTATCACCTGTTATATAAATTAATATAATAGATTATAAATTAGAGTTAAAGAGAGATAATATATTTAATCTTATTTATTAATTAATAAAAAGCAAAAATAAAGCTCTTAAAAAGAATAAAATACAGAATATATCAAAATTTACAGTATTCTTTCAGTTAGCCAGCTACTAACACCGCCGCTGCCATGGCTATATAAAAATACTATAATCTTAAAAGCTGTGTTAAGATACTTTCTCTATATTATACTAGAGTTAAGATACTGTTAATTATTATAGCTATAAGTCTATTGAAAGATATTATTCTTTAGTAGATAAGTATAAGGAATAAACAATAGGACTTATTCAAAACAATAGCCGTTCAGCCAGCATTACCCACAGTCGCTAATTCATCCCTTGAATTAGGACTGTGGACCTATTGGCCCTACTGATACGCCCACGTGATACTTTTCTTCCCTAAAGGGAAGTTGTAGGGCTCTCTCAGCCCTTACAATAAGAATAGCTAAGAAATATATAACTTACTATCAGATAAATTAATAATAAAATCTATAATTAGCTTTTATTATAGTTAATCTAGTATTAGTAATAATTTTAATAATTTATATTTTAATTCTCTTTATAATTTTATATAGCTATAAATACTATAGTTTTAGATATATCTTCTTATATCTTAGGATATATTAGACCAGAAGTATACTTTACTAAGAAAAAGATAGATTTATTCTTAGTCTAAATATTCTATAGTAAGGGGATTATAATTACTTTAAATAAATTCTATATAAAGTAGTTTATAATTAAAAATCTATTATTTTTCTCTAAAGTATATCTAAGCTTCTTCTATTAAATATTTACTTAGAAAAATCTTTAGCTTTAATTAAGATAGAAATTTCTATATTTTCTCTTATATATACTTTACTAGAATTTAATAGTCTATATCTAGTACTAGAGTATAATTCTAGCTATTCTTAGATTTATTCTCTAATTTTAGTAGTTCTATTTTAGTTTATAATATCTATTCTAGAGAGTTTCTATTTAGCTCTATTCTATATTCTTATAGCTATACTAGAGCTATAGTAAGTAGACTAGTTCTAAATTTTAGATTCTCTTCTAGTATTCTACTAAAGATCCAGATTATATAAAATAATACTCTAGAATCTTATTTATTAGATATATTCTATTTCTAAATATAATAAAGTATCTACTTATTTATTTTCTATTCTTTTCTAATAGAATAATTTAAAATTCAATCTACTTAGAATTAAACTCTATTATATATATTTTTCTATAAATTTATATAACTTAGAGAAATACTCTAGATTCTTATAATTAATTATTACTATAAACTCTAGTACTAAGTATAGCTTAGTATCTTAGACTTCTAGATATTATATAACTATTAGTTGTTTTTTATTATAAATCTTATAGTTATACTTAGTTAGGGTATTTTACTTTAAGAAATAAATATAAAGATATATATATATATTTTTTATCTAAGAAAGTATTTCTTCTATATTATAGCTAGATAAGTCTATTTCTACTATAATTATATATTTTAAATTAAAAGAATAGAGAACTAATCTAGTTATAAATTTTCTTTTTAGAGTCTAGAAACTTATTTTATATTCTAAAATCTAAAGAAATAATTAATCTTATCTAATTAGATCTATAAGCGATTATATAATAGTTAAAAATCTAGAAATAAACTTTTAGTAGAAATTTATAAATTTTAGAAAACTTTATACTATTTTAATTAACTTAAAATTCTTAGAAAATAATTATTTTAATCTTCTTAAAATCTATTATAATCTCTTCTTCTACTTATATAATAAACCTAAGATAAAGAGTTTTCTTTTATTTAAACTTATATTTCTTAATATTAAGAAATAGTTCTACTTTCTTTAGTTTTTATAATATCTTCTATATATACTTATAGTACATTTGAATATCTCTATTTATATAGATTAGTATATTATTAATATAAATTAAATAGAACTTATTAAGATATTTATCTAATATCTAGTTAATATATTCTTAAAAGATATTTAGAGTATTTATTATTTAGAGAGAATTATTAGTTATTTATATAATCTATATTTTATATAAATAACTATTATCTATTCTTAACTCTTTATAATATAGATTTTATAAAAAGTAGATAATATATTTAGCTTAGTAAATTATTTTATTGTTCTAATATAGTTTAGTATTTTATGAATTAGAGATAGTAGATAATAGTTCTTTTTAGTAATTATATTAAATATCTAATAATCTATATAAAATCTTAGTTGTTTTTCTAACTTCTATATAAATAATACTAGAGCTACTACTAGTAAACAGCTAATCTATATAAAGTTCTTTTTTAATAATTTAGTTAATTTAGACTATAGAACTATTAAGTCTTCTTAAGATATTATAAAAAGAATTTTATAGTATCTCTAGTTTCTTTCTATTCTATTATATAAATTTAATTTTATAATTAATATTCTTTTCTCTATATAGAGGTAGTTTCTCTATATTCTCTAGCTAAAAGAGAGATAAGAAGACTTTATAATATTTTAAAAATATTATATAAGAATTAACTATCTTTTTAATAGAGAGTATGTTCTATATATCTACTAGTAAAATTATAAATACTTTTATATTTTTTTAAATCTTTTTTATAAATAGTCTCTAAATCTTATTTTTATAATTAGCTAAACTCTTAGCTTTATATACTATAGATATAGTAGATCTTCTAATCTTAATCTAGTTCTAGAACTATATTATAGTAGAATAGCTAGTCTTTTCCTAGAATTAAGTTATATCTAAGATTATTAAATATTATATAGAAGTATACTTTCTCTTTTATATAAGATTTAATATCTATTCTTACTTATATAATTAAGTAGATTAATACTCTATTACTAGAGATTTCTTATACTAGTCTTAGTATAATACTAGTAATTAATAGATTATTTATCTAGATAGATATTTTAACTCTAATACTATAGATTAGATATTCTAAGTTAATAAGTATTTAGATAATTACTATAAAATTTAGAATTACTTCTATTAAAAAAAATATATATAATTATATATTTCTTCTCAAAAATCTTTTAATTCTTTTTAGTTTTATCTAATGATTCTTATTTAAATATATAACTTTATATTAGACTTCTTCTTTTCTTAAGTCTAAGTTCTTATTTAAAATAAATTATTATTTCTACTTATAGAATATAAATATAATAGCTACTATACTTTCTAATTATATAATAGATTTAAGAGAATATTAATAAATAAGATATTTATTTTATTTATATTAAAGATAATACTCTTCTTTTTATCTTTTCTATATTTTACTAGATATTATTTATTAGACTTATTTCTAGTAATTATTATTAATTATATAGAAGTTGTATTTTTCTTATTATATAATAGCTATTTAAGTAGATTTCTATTCTATTAGTTTAGAGCTTAATTTCTAGTATACTAATATAGTCTTAGTATAACTTTCTTTAGAAAAAAAGAATACTCTACTTAGATTATAATATATATAGTATAGTTAATCATAGTAGTTTTTATATATAAACTCTTAGAGAATTCTACTTAATCTCTTAATAAATCTCTAGTTTATAGTAGTATTTAGTATAGTCTTCTTTTACTTATCTAATTAATTATATTCTTCTACTTATAGTAGAGTTTTATTAAAGTTATTTAGAAATTCTTTTAGTTTTATTCTTTTTTCTTTTATTATATTTATTTTATTAAAAACTTTTTATTATATATTAGAGTCTCTAAAGACTTTATCAATTACTAATATTAGATCTTTAAGTTATATTATCTTAGTATTCTAGATTTTAATCTAAAAAAGTATCTATTATACTACTTATCTATAT